CCAATGTCAGGGTCTGACATCTGAACTATCATCATCCAACTTGTGGCTCCATTTCCAAGAATTAGAAATGAGATTGTTTAATGAGGTAAAACACATATGAATACACTACCATACACAAACTTGTCCTTCAGAGTATACCATCATCAGATAAATCACTTCATGTACCGTCCGATGAGTCTTGGGTCTTAATCTAGACCTAAAATATGCGAAGTTTTCTCTATAATCATTGTTACTTATATTTTCTTTGAGAACCCATATGTATCACTGGATACTCACAAGTCACCAAGAATTTTGATACACTGAAAATTGGATATTTGGTAAACATATAACTGAATACTGGCTTACTGAATAACCATAAACTTGCTAACTGAAGGATTGTATAACTGGTAACTGAGGTAAACTGATAACCATAAGACATGATAATTGCTTTTGTACTTTCTGATAAAGTTATGCTCTATCTGTAATACTATCCATTGCATCCCACTTTTAACATCCTCTAAAGTCTTATATTTACCAACCTATACTCCATGATTATACCCCAATGGGCAATTATCCTCTCTGGGACCTTACGTTTCTCCTGCACGTCGCTTGGGAATCCAATACGTTTGGAATTCGATAGGAAGAGAAGGTTACCTTTTGCTATAAGCTTCATGGCACAATCTAGAGTAGAAAGAAGTGAGACAATCCTGGATGTCTTGGTAGTTAACCATTTATATGAGTGGTCGGCACACACATATAAAGGAAACTCCAATGGACACAACTTCATAGACTCCCTAGAACTCTTGAACCTAGCGCTCTGATACCAAGCTTTGTCATGCCCCGAACCTGGGCCTGGACATAACACGACACTCGGTGCCTAACTAGATGTGACCGAGCGAACCAACTGACTGGCTAAATCAACATGTGATATCATAACATACTGAATGTGGAAGATAAACTAACACATGTTGGTATATTGAAAGTCTGAATAATATAAATCAAAGTAGGAAAATACTAATACAATTTCTTAAACGTATTTGTAGCAAATATAGCTTAACATGAAAAACTTGAGACTTTGTCTAACTGTTACTCTAGTCTATGAAGCCTCTAATGAAATACTGAAAACACTAACTGTTTAAAAATACTTAAGACTGTAAGGTAATAATAAAGCTCCAAAAGAACTGGGGATCACCAAATAGCTAGTACGAGAATCCTATCGCTTTGAATCATTAACCTGTAAATCATTACCTGCATCGTGAGATACAAGCCCCGGGAAAAAGGGACGTCAGTACATTTTAATTGCACTGGTCTGTAAAGCAACTGAAAGAAAGAATTGTAAATGTTGAAACTGAAACTAAGCTGATAATTGAGAATTGATAATTGATAACTAAAATGATAACTATTGAAACTGAAACTGAAACGATAACTAATAACTAATAACTGAACTGGTAACTGAACATATAACTGATAAGTGAACTGAACAAAGGAAGTAAGGATATGAATACTCCCTCTTCTGAATGATGAACAACATGTTTATCTAAAAATTAAACTGTGGCCTCATGCCCAATATATATATGTGCACAACTGCGGCCTCGAGCCCAAGTATACATATACATAACTGCGACCTCAGGTCCAAAACGCATAAATCATAAACTGCGGCCTCAGGCCCAAAGATGCATAAAGCATAAACTACGGCCTCAGGCCCAAAGATGCATAAAATATAAACTGCAGCCTCAGGCCCAAAGATGCATAAACTGCGACCTCAGGCCCAAATACAGGTGTTCAACATTCAGGAATTTAAAATCAGGAACTGAGAATCATACTGCAATACATGATAGTGAAATACTGAATCACACTGAGTTACATGATACTGGAATACTGGATCATACTGAGTTACATAATACTGGAATACTGAATCATACTGAGTTACATAATACTGGAATATTGAATAGGACTAGAATGAAACAGGTATACTTGAACTAGTTATGAACACTGAAACTTCAACTGTTTATGACATGCTGAGTAAGCTATACTGAGACTTAGGGACATCAAACCCAAGTCTATATTGAATACAAACTGAGCTCACAACATTCAGAATGAAAGTCATGAACGAGTTATGAAGCTAGAGAATAGAAGTTCTACAACTATTCAAGGAACTAGGCTTAACTATATTTCAGAGGCAACTGATACGTCGTAAAAGAAACATAGTGTAAGGAGAATCATTAATATTCCTAAACATAGAGAGTTAGCCTCACATATCTTAACTTCCTACTCTTGAGCATAATACAACATTCGCCAACCCTTTCAACTTTAATCTATATCAATACAAGTCAAAGGGATTCCATATTAGCAATAATACTGATGTTTTGGTCACTTAGGCATTTTCTTAAACACTTGGTGGCATAAAGCTTCATAGTCCTTATTAATAGTATTTCTACACCCAATAACTCATTCCCTTTCTTCTAGATAAATTCTAAAGTCTCAAATGGTTATAATCAACATCATTCTTTATCACTCATAAGGTAAACAATACCCTTAACCAATAATCAACAATCAACAACCCAAACCTATAACCATTCATGCTTTTCTATCAAACTCATCAACTCATATCTCATGAACTAGAGTCTATAACCATTAATTCAATGATAGAATCAATTAGAAGGTGAAGATATTACCTTTTTGACGTTCAATCTTCTTGAATTCGAGCTAGTGTTTCTTCTCTCAACAATGGTGTCCAAATCGAATATCTAATGATATGGAGGGTTTACCCATGTTAATAGGATGTTGTAAATCAAAATTAATTTAGAATCACCATTAGAACTTACCTTGGGTGGTGGAGGGACCTTTGAGGAGTTAGGTTTTTGAGAGTTTTCCTTTCTAGGGCAAGTTTTTATGTTTTGGGGTTGTGGGGGACAAAATAGGGCTTAAAATGACTTCCCAAGACTGCCACGGCGTCCCAGTAGGCCTGACCGCGGTAAATAGCTAGAGCACTGCCTACCGACCGCGGTCGCGGTCACGCGGCCAAACAAGGTGGTTATGCACTATTCTGTAAAATTGACATAACCTTTTGCACAGAGCTCCGTTTGGGATCCACAATATATCGTTGGAAAGATATTTCAAAGACCTATAACTTTCGTGCTTTGAGTTTTCCTAAATTTCTTACAAGTTTTCACTAAACCCTGCTGGAATACGGACCTTCTGCAAACTTAGTCGATTTTGTCGAATCTTATGCACCTCACTTTCCATCTTGATTTTGAAACAACTATTTTCACCCATAATCATCCCGATAGGACTTCATATGTCCAAAATATAACCTTTCTTCTCCTTTAACTCATTCATACCTAATCCAAATGTGTGGGGTGTTGCTATTGCGAGCCAAAAATTGAATGATTCTGTATGCACTTGTTGGCTTTCAACCGATGAGTGTCACTTTGCCTAGACGGTCTTGAAAATTTTAGAGTATAGGGCTCATCTTCCTTTTCCTTTGACTCTTGCATTGGCTCATACATATTAATTTACATTTCACCATCTGAACATAATATAGAGAAGTGTCTGGAATGAGGTCCAACGCGCTCAAATACATGAACTTCAAGAATTTTTAACCTCCTCAACAATCACACTAGGGTAAACTAAATTTGTATCATTAACGTCCCTGGTTGACTCTAGTATTACTTCTTCAACATCGACATCCTCAAATTCTAGTTGGTTAGATTGTTGGTGTTCTACTCTGACCTCCTCCATTAGAACATCCGTTTCGGTATCTAATTCATATTCTTCTTGGCTACTATCCACAATATTGGCTTGTTGAGTATTAAATGCTTTAACTAGTTGACTCACTTATCCCTCTAGGTTGAGAATAGTAGCATCTTGCCTTTGTATGAGCATTTGTTTCTCATTATTTTGTTCCACAAGGCACCTTAGCATATTCTTGATCTCTTTCAGGTCATCATCCATGGGTTCTTTGTTCCTATTAACTTCACAAGAAAAAGAAGAAACATCAAAGTAAGGGGTTGGGAAAGATAAGAAATATAAGCACAACCATGAAAGTGATCATCTTGACCACCACACAAATCACACACATTCCACACATACGATTGAGTTGGTGTACATAATTTTGCTACGGGTGGTTACCTCCACTATATGCATGAAGAGGATCAAAAGTAGAATTACCAACATCAAAACTCTCATAATTCCAAGATGTTATTTTTATAAAATCAACAAGTAAAATAAAAATAAAAAAAATCAAATACAAGAAAATAAAAATAAAAGTTCAAACTTGCAACCTAGCAATATGTACACCTACAGCTACACCGTAAGTTCCCCGGCAACGGCATCAAAATTTGATCACGTCCAACTCTAGTCCTAAAAAGGATAAGCGATCGCTGCTAATATAATCCAGTCTAAAAATTCTGAGTCGAATCCCACAGAGAACTAAAGTTTAGCTACAACTTTTTACTATCACTAAGAAGACAAGCTCGAATAATTCCTAAGTTATAAATATTAAGATTCTTGTATCTAATTAACTAACAAATTAAATTAGTATATTAACAACTAGGGATACTAAGGATTGGAGACAAGATTAAGGAGGTCTAGATTTATGATTTCTCCAATTGTCGGAATCCTTTCCACTATATTCTTTATAATTTTGCCTAAGTATTCTCTACCGATCGTGAGTACTTTGAGTGTCATAATTCTCTTCCGAGCAACTTCCACAATTTACTAGATATATTCTTTCGAACTACACTAGCTGGCACTAATTCACCGCTCACTAAGATCGCACCAAGGTTTCGTTATTCCTAATCCCACATTTAAACCCTCAATAGAGATTCCTTACATATGTTAGGAGTGATGTTGTTCAATAACTACCTAAATAGATATATATTTTCCAAACAATACATACTAAATAGGCACAGTCAATTGAGGGCCCTTTACCAAGGACAGGAGAACGAATAAATTTCTCTCTCTAAAAATTCTTTTCTCTCAACGGTAACACCAACGGTAATAGAGTGTATCCACCCCAAATGGATACTTCTCCAGCCAGCCAACCGACGTCTATCACCCAGCCTAAAGACCCACCCACAGAAATAAGGCCACCAGTGGTCCTTCCACCTGACCCAAAAATCTCCTTCTCCACTGCTCTTATAGGAACCACAAGCACCTGCAACACAATCAACACCAGCACTGTGGTGGCAAGGCAAACGACTCACAACAGGAAACCTGTTGTTATCTTCAAAGCCTCCGACTACTATGGTGTAATGGCGGAGAATTGTAAATGGACTTTGGTCAGAAAATTCACCATGGGAAGACCCAAGATTGAAACAATTAGGGCAAAATTCATTGAACAAATTCCTTTGAAAGGAAAGGTAAGAATTGGGGCTTATGACTATAAACATGATTTCATTGAATTTAACAATGAAACAGACTTGAACACTCCTTACTTCCAACGATTTATGGGAATTTATGGAGCCTTACTGAGGATGTTCAAATGGTCTCCTGACTTCAACCCCAATGAGGAAACTTCCTTGGCTCCCATTTGGATTTTATTACCAGAACTCCCTTTCCATATGTTTAAATGGGAGTACCTAAAGCAAGTATTAGAACAAATTGGCACTCCAATGAAGGAGGACATTGCGACCATTGCAAGAACTAGATCACACATGGCCAAAGTCAGGGTAGAAGTCGATCTGATGAAATCACTTCCAGACTCGGTGTTCATCGGCATTGAAGGCGATACAACAAGATTGAAGGGCAAAGATCAAAAACTAGAATACGAGGGTGTCCCAACATTCTGTAAGACATGTAAACTATATGGACACGATTATGAAAGATGCAAGGTTGAGGCAAGAAAGAGAGAACAAGCCAGAGCCAACCAAGAAACTAAAAATGCTGAGAAAAAAGAAGACGAAGCAAGAACTAATATTGCTGGAGAAATAGGAATTAAGGTTACTGAGGGGACACAGACTCATATTGAAAATCAAAAGGACGATGGATTCATACAAGTTAAAAACAAGAGGAACAGGAAAAAAAAGACCTTCCAGGCAGAGAGCTCAAATGTCAATAATAATGAGACCAAAAAAGTTGTTTTGAATCAGCTACAACCTCCACACGACCAGACAACTCTTAAGAACAGAAATACCCAAGCAACATAACCTGCCAAAGACAACCTGGTTGCAAAAATGAGGGAACTACTACTATACAGCGAAAAAGAGCCAATCCAAACAAGAACAGCAGCAGAAACAAGAGAAACAAGACTAAAAAGTCGACTACCCAATGCCTAAAAGTCAAAAACAGACTTTGGATCAAGCAAAAGCCAAAGCAAATAGAAGAGAAAATCATATAAGTAGTACAAAAAAGAAGGGAAAATCAACATGGAGAACATAATAAAAGAGAATACTACGTGCAAGGACCAAGAGATAAGGCTCAACATGAAGGAAAAACAAAAGAGCACGATAGCAGTAGCGCTAGCTCAAACAATCAGATTATGTCCCCAGTCACTGCGGACACGGCTTGCATTCAAAACAAAGGTGGAAAAATTGTTATTGATCTGGGAACACTTGAGCATTTTCCAGGGGAATTGAACAACAAACATAGCCCAGGTATAGAAAACAGTTCTATCTATGAATCAGGAGAGGACATCAATAGTAATCAATCTCATGAGGCCTCCACAGATGATAAAATTGCAAATAGTTCTATAGGAGGAAGTGAGGATGAAGATGAGCCTCACGGACAGTCTAGTTGAAGCTTTTGCATCTGTACCAAAGCATCTTAACGACCCTGTGGAAAAAGAAACAGAGGAGGTGATACAAAAACATGGCCTCTCACCAAGAGGGAACAAAAGAAGAAACCACAAAGGTAAAGGAGGCAACCCCAAAACCTCAAGTACCTTCCAAACACAAGGCAACCTACAAAATCCCAACCTTTCATAATGATTAACATCATCAATTGGAATATTAGGGGAATGATATCCAAGGGTGCAAGTGAAAGATTAGCCAAACTAATCAGAATTCATAAGGCTCACATGGTCATTCTCCATGAACATTTTCTCTCTTCTAACAAGTTAGAAGACTACAAAAGGTACTTTGGTTTTGATCAAGATGTCTCCAATAAATGCAGCAAACTGTGGCCTTCTAGAATAATGAACTGGAGTGTGATGTCATCGACAATAGCAGACAACAGATTACTCTCAATATTAAGGGAGATGAGCAAACATATTGGATCACAACAGTATATGCTAGGAACAGTGCTGTGAAAAGAAGAAATTTGTGGACCAAGCTGAGGAACATAAGCAGCAGAATCAATGGCTCATGGACCATCCTTGGTGACTTCAACACTATTATGGCTCCAGAGGAGAAGAAGGGTGGTACCCTCACACTTTAAGCAAAAGTGCAGACTTCATTAGATGCATGGATGACTGTGGAATGTCAGATCTTAGCTTTACAGGGAATCCTTTTACATGGTGCAATGGCAGCAGGGGAGAAAAAAAAATCAGCACAAGACTGGATAGGGTTCTTATTAATGAAGACTGGGCAAAGAACTTTCAAACAAATAGAGTCGACCACCATGCCAAATCAGGGTTGGATCATAGTCTCATCACCTTTAAATTTGGTAATGAGAACCCTGAAGTTATCAAATACTTCAGGTTCCTTAATTTCTGGACTAAGTAGAGCAACTACAACTCCTTAATTGAAAGCATCTAGAACAAAGAGATCCAGGGAAATGACCAATAGATCCTTCAACAGAAATTAAAAGTTGTAGCCAGGGGCCTTAGCAAATGATCCAAAGAGTCTATTGGAGATGTATTCACTTTAGTCAAACAGACAGAGCTGGAAATGTGTAGGTTAGAGCAGGAATATGAGACTAATAACAACAATGTCAACAGACAGAACCTATACAAGGCCCAAGCACAATATACTAGATGGCTAAAGATGCAAGAATCCATTCTCAAGCAAAAATCCAGAATCAAATGGGCTGAAGAAGGTGACTCTATCTCCAAATATTTTCATAGTGTGATTAAGGAGAAAAGGAGGAGAGCACATATCCACAAAATTAAAGATAATCAAGGAACATGGATTGAGGGCAATGAAGCTATTGCAAATGCTGCTATTGATAATTTCAGCAATTTGTTCATTCACACCCAAAGTGACAATAATCTGTCCATTCTGGAATGCATTGAACTGATGGTCACAGAGAAAAACAACCACCTCATGAACCAGATTCCTGAAGAAGAAGAGATTAAACATATAGTATTCTCTATAGAACCCAACAGCTCTGCAAGCTCGGATGGCTTCAATGGTCACTTCTACCAAGCATCATGGGACACTATTAAAAGGGAGGTTTGCAAGTTTGTTCAAAAATTCATTAATGGTTACAATATTTCCAGATATTACACTCATACTAACTTGGTCCTCATTCCTAAAGTGTCCTCTCATTTATCTTTATCTCAGCTAAGACCCATTAGTCTTTGTAATGTGTCAAACAAGATTATCTCCAAAATTATCAGTGCTAGGATAGCTAACATCCTTCCTAAATTAATCTCCGATAATCAATCTGGTTTTGTTAAAGGCGGATTAATGACTGAAAACATCCTTCTTGCCCAGGAACTTGTTCATGGTATCAAGAAGAACAATCAAGGTGGAAACATTGTCATTAAGCTTGACATGTCAAAAGCTTACGACAAACTCTCTTAGAGTTTCCTCACGGTTGTGCTAAGAAAAATTAACTTCTCTGAAATTATCATAGATTCCATCCATAGACTGATTTCGGAGAACTAGTATTCCATTTTAATTAATGGAAAAAGACATGGATTCTTCAAGTCAACAAGAGGACTGAAACAGGGAGACCCTCTTTCCCCTACTCTATTTATTATAACGGCTGAGGCTTTATCTAGGGCCCTTAACAGACTCAATGAGAACAACCAATTCATTGATTTCTCTATGAATCCCAAAGGACCTAAGATATACCACCTAAGTTATGCCGACGATCTAATTCTTTTCTCTTCTAGCGATAGGAAATTAGTGAAACTGCTAATGGAAATCCTTGAGGACTACCAGGATGCATCTGTCCAAGAGATCAACAAAGAAAAAAGTTTTTTCCTAAAATACAACCATGGAGTTGGCAGAAACAATAAAAGAACCATTAGAAGACTACGAAAATGGACAGGCTTTAAGCACATGCAATTCCCATATACATATCTTGGGTGCCCTATCTAGATAGGCAGGAAGAAGATTTGCTACTTCGCCGACCTGGACACAAAAGTGCTAAACAAAGGGGGAGGATGGCAAGGGAGACTCCTATCATTTGGTAGTAAATCCATTATAATCAAGCACATCTTTTAGTCCCAAACTTTATATTTGCTGGCAGCTATGGTACCTCCTAAATCCATTATCAAGCAGATTGAAATGTACCTTGCAAATTTCTTCTAGGGAGAGAAAGAAGGTAAAAGGAGTTATCACTGGTGCTCTTAGGATAATATGAGCTATCCTACTGATGAGGGAGGAGTTGGGTTTAAAAAGATCCAAGATATATGCAACTCATTTGCAGCAAAAAGATGGTGGAGATTCAGGGTGGAAAATAACTTATGGACAAAATTTCTCCGAGCTAAATAATGTTAAGATCCAATCCAATCTCTAAAAGGTTGGATTCTAAAGACTCTAACTCATGGAGGAGCCTAATGGAGACCATAGATTAAGTGGAAGCTTACATTCATTGGAAGATCAACAAAGGTAATAGTCTATTTTGGNACCAAAAAAACCAGAAAACACCAATGTCAAGGAATTCTTCAATAACCAAGGATGGAACACGGAGCTTCTTCAAGAAACTATGCCTCAGAGAGTCATTGATGAAATTGAGCAAATCAAGATTGGTTACAACTATATACAGGATCAAGCTGTATGGACCCCCAACCCCCAAGGATCCTTTTTATTGTTCTTCTGCCTACCAGCTTCTAAGAAAAAGAAAAGACTCCTCACCTCAGTTGGCCAAAATTTGGAATAAACATCTACCTTTCAAAATCTCCTTTGCTACATGGAGAATACTGAAAGGCAGGCTACCACTTGGTAATATTGTACTAAAATTCGGTACTAACAGTATATCTAGCTGTTGTTGTTGCAGGGTGCCAGAAGAAGAAACCATGAACCATGTCTTCGCAACTAGCAACACAACAAAAAAGGTATGGAACACTATGTCCACTCTACTAGGATTTCGGACCACGGGAAGGAATATTCTATGCATCATAACTCAATGGTGGAGCAGACATCCAAAAAATAATGTGCATAAGTTTCTACTACAAATCACTCCAATTATAATATGCTGGGAAATATGGAAGGCCAGGTGTGGTAAGAAATATGGTAAGAAGACTATTTCTATTTTTAGAATATGTCAACAGGTTCTTTTTCAGGTAAACGTTTCCATGGGCCAAAAATACAGCCAGATGGATTGGAATTGAACATGGAACAATGTATACAAGGTGGTAAAGGATTACAAGAGTAGACTGAAGAGTATTATGGTTCTTTGGGAACCCCCTGACAGTAATCAATGGAAAATAAACACAGACGGAAGTTTCTGCACAAACGCAGGCAAAGCAGGCATTGGGGGTGTTGTTAGGAAAAGAAATGGTAAAATGGTGATTGTCTTCTCTGCACCAGTACATTTCTCGACTAACAATTACTCTGAAGTGCAAGCGGCCTTGTTTGTTGTACTCTGGTGTTGTGACCATAACTGCCAAGACCTAATACTTGAATTAGACTCTCTCCTGGTTGTCAACATGATCCAAGGGAAATACAATACCCCATGGAGACTAAAAGAAGGAGTCACACTTATTCAACAAAAGGTGCAACAACACGACATCAAGATAAAATATTGCTACATGGAAGGAAATGAAGTGGTCGACGCTTTGTCCAAAAATGCTACTACTCTCATGCAGCAGGCCATCATCCTCAATGAAACTGATATGCCTACTGAGGCCAGAAAAGCAACGACTATGGATAGAATGCAGATCCTAAATTTCAAAATTAGACCAAGGAATCACTCAGGATGGGTATTTGAACCTCCTTAAACGATAAGGAAAGAGCTACTGCTGTACCGAATCATATCCTATGATAGTAGCTCTTTTATAACTTAATAGGCCTAGTCATTTTAGTTTTTCTAGCAACAATGTGACTATGTGAGGTTTTGGTCTATGTCCCCCTCCTTGTACTATTTTGCTAGTGAATAAACAGGGTAGGGGTCTATGCCAAACCCCCTAACACCATAGGAGATGAAAACCTGGGTGGATGGTTTTAATAAAAATAAAAATAAAAATTGAGGGCCCTTCAGTCAACTAAAATAATCACGTAGTTGAACAAGAAGAGAAAATCCAACGGCAAAATAATATTAAATGCCACAGAAAAATCATCCTTCAAAAGGTTCCATCAAAACTCTAGATAATAAATTAGCTATTCATAATAGTATGCATAATTGCAATACTAGAATTCATAACCAATAATGAAAATTAGGAAGAAGGAAGTGAAAAACTCGTAGAAGAATTCTCCGTCTTGCTCCTAGTGTGTTCTTGCCTCCTTAGGTCGAATCCCCTCTCCGAAAACGTCCTCTTTAGGTTGAATCTGCTCTAAAAAAATATCTCCCCCTTCTTCTTAGACATGTTTAGGGAGTATTTATAAGCTAGGGTTGAAGTCCTTAAGTCCAAATCCAAGTCGGAGTTTTTTAACCTGCGAGTTTTAATTACCGAGCTATACACCTCACGAGGCTAGGCTTATAGCGCGGTCAACCTGGCTACAGACCTCGCGAAGCCTGGTCTGGAGCGTGTTCAACCTGGCTATAGACCTCGCTAAGCCTGGTCTATAGCACGATAGAGCTGGCTATAGAGTTGGCTTTACTTGGTCCGTAGCACGGTTTGGGTACTTGATGCTTTTGTGCTTTTTTCTTGCATTTTTTCCCTCTTTTTGTGCAACTTTCATTCGTCTTTGTCTTCCAATACTCCTACATATAAAATAACATAATTTAGCTCAAACGTTGTACAATTAACCACTAAACTAAAATATTATAGGGCGAGTAATGTAATAAAAATATACTCCCTCCGTTCCAATTTATGTGAACCTGTTTGACTGGACACGGAGTTTAACATAAAATAAAGACTTTTTGAATTTGTGATCTTAAACAAGTCAAAAAGGGGCCCAGAGTATTTATGTCGTTATAAAATCTTCTTATTAAGGATAGAATCGTAAATTTAAGCTAAATTGTTTCTAAATTTAGAAAGTGGTCATTCTTTTTGGAATGGGCCAAAAAGAAAATAGGTTCACATAAACTGGATCAGAGGGAGTAGTATTTTGGCCTAACATCAGACATTCATTTGATAGATGAACCAGCGTTTGGATGCTGCCAGGGCCACTATTGATCTGATTGTCACCATCTTTTCCACAGGTTAGAAGGTCTCTGTATAATCCAGTCCCTCCTTTTGACTGTAGCCTTTAGCTACCAATCTAGCTTTATATCTCTCTATCTCCCCTGAGGCCTGATACTTGATCTTGAATATCTATTTACAACCAATATGGATCTTGTCAGTAGGAAGATCAACTCCATGTGTGATTAGCTTCTAGAGCAGCAATTTCAAGCTGCATTGCTTCTACCCATTTTGGATCCAAAGTAGCCTCTCTGAAAGTCTGAGGCTATTTGATAGCTGTGTATGCTGACAGAGCCTGCTTCTAAGACAGTTTAATAGCAGTATAGGACACATATGAAGCCATAGGATATTGACAAGATTTGTTCTTGACAGGAATCACATAATCCTGCATCCAAGTAGGTTGCATCCCTTCTCTAGTGGACCTTCTTAACTCCTGATGAGGTGGAGTCTCAGAAGGTTGATCATGAGACTCTGAAGTTGAAGCAATAAACTCAGTAAGTGAGGAAGTGGCACTATGCTAATGTTCTTTATTAGGTGCATACAAAGTAGCATGGGGTAGTTCTTGACAGGCAGCAGAGTGATGTGAGGAGGCACCCTGTGAGTAGGCCTCTGCAGCTGGTAGCAAGTCAAGAATATGAAATATAAGGGTACTAGCATCCTTCATGTGTTTGAAGGGAAAGAAATGTTCCTAAAGTACTACATGTCTGCTTTCAAATAAGGACTTGGTGTGCAGACTGTAGATCTTGTATCCCTTTTGTGTGGAAGAATAACCTAGCAAGATTACAGGAAGAGCTATTGGTGCAAACTTATCATTCTTCTTTGGATTGGATGCATAACATAGACACTCAAAAACTCTAAGGTGTATGAGAGAAGGAGGATGCAACTGAAGCATTTCAAAAGGTGATTTGTTATGTAATACTCTGGAAGGCAGCATGTTAATAAGGTAAACTGTAGTGCTAACACATTCACCCCAGAACTTTAGAGGAACAGCTTCTTGAAACCTGAGTGATCTGGCTATTTCAAGGATTGTTCTGTATTTTCTTTCTACCACTCCATTCTGCTGAGGAGCATAAACACAAGAACTCTGGTGAATAATTCCAAGAGAGGAGACCAATGCTTTGAAGTCAGAACTAAAAAATTCATGCCCATTATCCGTCCTGAAAGTTTTAACAATAGTTGAGAAAGTATTCTGCATTATGGTTAAGAAGTTTCTGATGACCACTATAGCATCAGACTTAGAATTAATTAAGAGCAACCAAGTATATCTAGCATAGTCATCCGCAATAGTGACAAAGTATCTTTTTTCATCATATGTACCCTATAGGGCCCCCAGATATCGCAATGTACCAGTTCAAATATTGATTTAGCAGTTGCAGTACTCAACTGAAAAGGTAACTTTGATTGCTTTGCTACAAGGCACACAGTACAATGATATGAACCTACATTTTTCAATGCTCTAAGTACATCATGCCTTTTGATTACATCAATAGGAGCATGTCCTAATCTGAGATGCCATAGATGAGTAGATTCAGAACTAATAGACTCAGAACTAAGGTTAGCTGTGTGTGCACATTTATTTAACAGCTGTGATTTCTGGAGTGAGTCCCTTTCAGTAGATAGAGTTCATGCTCTTCCTTACCAATCCCCAACACCTAACCATTGTAGAGGTCCTGAAATATGCAGAAATCAGGGAAGAATACCACTAAGCACTATAATTCCTTGGTAAGTTGAGAAACAGACAGTAGATTGTATTTAAAGTCAGGTATATACAACACATCACTAATAGTCTGGTCTTTAAGTACTGTAGTATTTCCTGATTGTGATATTGTCACTACATTTACTGTTGGTAATTGAACTGTGCCTCTTTGATGTTTTGGTAAAACCTGATAGTTGTTTAACATCTGTAGATTAGATGCCATGTGATTTGAGGCACATGTGTCTACTATCCAGTTGTGATTAAGATACTTAGATAGTTAGGCTATCAGAGTACCTGCAGCAACAGCCTTGGAAGATGATCCCTCTTCAGCACTTTTGTTGAGTAGCTGGACAATCTGTTGATATTGTTGTTGTGTAAGATAGGGTGCAGGTGGTGGAGACTGAGAATACGTGGCAGATTGAGGCATCATAGATATCATAGGGTATTGAGGCATAATAACAGGTTGAGACATAATGATCTCCTCTACCATGTTGACCTGCATGTTGAACTCCAACCTGCATCTATGGCCCTTCTCCCAGCTGATGGACATCAGCACTAGCATGATTAGCATATAGACCAGGGGTTCCTCCTTTCTTCTTATGTTTAAAATCAGCTAGATAGCCAATTAGCTTATAACCATTTTCCTTAGTATGTCCTTTGTAGTAGCAGTATTCACACTGTATTTGATTTCTCCTTTGTTTGAAATTACCTCCTGAGTTAACAGAGGTTCTATTACTGTAAAGATCAGTACTCGCCATTGTCTCAGACACTTGAATTGTTTGTGAGAAATTTGCCAAACTCCTTTAACTTTCCTGATCCACTAGTAGAGGGTAGGCCTTGTTGATACTAGGAATTGGGGACATCATCATAATTTGACTTCTGAATTGTGAGTATGACTCATTTAGGCTCATAAGAAATTGCAGAAGCCTGTGTTGTTCAAAGTGCTGAGCAAACTTTTTCGATTTTGGACATGGACAAACAGGGTTGGGCATGAGAGCATCAAACTTGTCCCAAAGATCCCTCAGTTTCAAAAAATAGTCAGATATGGTCATGGTTCCTTGAGTCAATGTATGAATTTCTCTATGGAGATAGAGAACTCTCGAACCATTCACTTTATCAAATCTTTCTTTTAGATCCTCCCACACTTTGTGAGCATCAAATGCATACATTACACTACTTAATAGGCCTGGTCTAACTACATTCATAATCCATGCGAGAACTACACCATTGACTACAGTTCAGGTACAAATTTAGATTTAGGAAATCGTCCATCCACAAAACCTAGTTTACTCTTGCCTAGCAAACCAATCCTCATAGATCTACTCCACAAAGCATAGTTATCTGATCCGGTTAATTGAAGAGAAATCAGAGTACTACTTGGAGTATCCGTTGGTTGAAGAAAGAGAGGATGATTGTGATCAATTGTGGGAATATTGACAGTAGCAGTTGTGCCATCACTTGAATCAGCGGTTGTGACATTCACATCATCTCCAATCGCCATTGCTGAACAGAGTTTCAGACCTAGATTCAACACTTGCAAACCCTAATTTCACCACGCGTCACTAGAAGGCCATTCTACAGGTCTTATGCAGAATTAAAGCAATACTAGAAATGGAGAGTGAAATTGAGTTAGTGATTAAGCGTAGATCGAGTCTCAAAGCTCTAATACCATGTTGACTGCCATGGAAATGGCATTTGAGCTAGAACAAAGACGAGCTTGAGAAGAGAGGATGTGATTTTGTAAAATATCAAAACTTAATACAATCACTGTACACCCAGTGTATATATATAACTAACCTACAATGTTAACTAACTTCTGGAACCTTCTAACTAACTGCTAACTGACTAGCTTAATTGACTAAATAAGATTAACCACCTACTCACTGCTAACTTGACTCTAGTTACATCAGCTTGTTAGCTTTAACCATAGTCAACACAATCGCATTTAGCATTTTGCAAAGTCGCATTTGAGATATCTCATTTATAAGTCGCAATTGACGAAATGAGATGTATATTCTCCACATTTATAAGTCAAAAAGTCACAATTCAGAATATGCGTTATAAATTTCATTTCTAAAATCAATTTAATTTAAACATCATCTCCCAGATTTTTCGTTACCTGACATGTAAATGGCATTTCATATTTTTGGAATTCTAACAAAAATTACACTCTAAAAATTCAGAAGAGTTTGTATCTGTATGTTCAGGGTAGTTGAAGGTTAGAGTAGGAAGCAAGATCAATGAACTCACAAGTCACAAGGAAGAAGAAAGGAAGAACATAAAGAGAATAAGCATCCACAATTCTCTAATAACAAAACAATAGCCTAGCCTTGAGATAGGAAGATAGTAGAGCCCTTCTTAAAATTGGCCAAAATCTAGGCTAATTTTATTACCCAGTGCACTAAAAATAAGGTTAAAAGGATGCCCTTGAATTTTCATATAAGACTTTGTTGTCCAACGCAGGATGTCACAATTGACACCAGAGTTCATTGAAATACTTGAGATCTCTTTGCAGTTCCAAAATCCAAGAAGCTGAACATCCAAATTAAGAATGACTTTTGAGAAACTTGAGTATCAGCTCATTGACCTGGTCTGGTAATTGCTCTTGAACAAAGTGGGAACCTTCTAGCAAGAACACTATCTCCAAATTGGTAGCTAAATGTTTCACATGCCCACTTCTTATGTAGTCCTCTATTCCTGGAAATTTCAAGGTGTAGTCTTTTTCCCCCATGATCAGCAGCGCTGGGGCCTTAACTATGTGGTTTGAAATGTTGAACTCTTCATTGAGTGACCTGTGACATAGCATGTTCATTCAAAAACTTACTGATGGTAATGGATACTACGTTACAGATAAGCTCGTCAAGAAAGTAATAATGGCTAAATGGAAACTGAAACATGTATTTCCATTATTGCCTTCTTCGTGGCTTATCGGCAATAAGCTGTCTGTTATATTCCTCATGTATCGGATCTTCCAAAATTAGTACATGCATTAAGTCTCTTACCTATAAGGAACCTTTAATGCAGTTCGAAATCCAGATTTCTCATATAGAGCACCATATGCTGAAAGGTCTTCGTCCGAGAACCAAAGGGGTAGAGGGGTTGATGAGTCCACTAAATCCAGTATCTCCTGATCAGGTAATGCTATTGGTATGTCACTTCTGGAGAAGAGGATGTATATGTTGCGCAAAACAGTTTTAGCATCAAGCCTAGCAAAATCTGCTTCTGCCCTTCCTGGTTCCTGAATTTGAGAAAGGAAGTTACCTAATTGCAAAAACTACATACTTCATATTCTGTTTTTAGCAAAAAGATACCTGCCATCTGGAAACATAGAAGCCTTCTGGAAGGGTCTCGAGAAATTTTCGAGGACCTAAAGGTACAAAAGGAGTACCCAATGTGACGACTCCTATGACTCGTTCGGGGTGTAAGAGAACCAGTAACTGAGCCAGCCTAGCACCAAAATCTTTAGCAACTAGAGTTACCTGTCAACTTAAGTTGTTAGCGGGAGAATCTAAATAGTAAAAGTATACATTACAAGAAATTACTTAATAACGACATGAGATGTTCTTATTATTTAACTTAGACATAACAAATCAAAGCGTTCCGTCTTAAAACTTCCCACTTTTTGCACTCTTACTGATGAAGATCCAAGAAACTTTCAAAGTACATTCGTGCAGACAGACAATGGATAATGTTTTAGCATACAACACAGCAGAACAAATTCACTGTCTCAGTTCTCCCTAGATCTGTCCTATTTGCTTTTATGCGTTATCCCAAAATGTCGTCTGCTCTTACTTTTTCAGCCCAAAAACTAAGGCCAGTTGAATATCTATGATCTGCCTATCACATATACCCTTTTCTTATGGAATGATACGATCAGCTAGCTGTAGCTTTATATCAGCTAGGCACAGTGCAGGATTTCTGTTGGATCAGAAAGCTTTTGGAGTTAGGACTGTAGCATTATGAAACCCACTTTTACTCATCTTAATTACAACTTTATTCTACTCTAATACATCATAAAAAATCAAAATATGCCCCTATATATTTCTCAACAAAATAATACAATTCCTACTTCCAGACTTCCAGTATTCTCTTAATAATCGTTATTAATACTGGAAAAACAAATGGGAAGGATGAGGGTATAGAATGATCAATTTTTAGCTCCAATTTAGGCAAAAATAAAAATAAAAATTGTATCAACCCTTAGCCGTGTTAGTTTAGTAACAAACTTATCCAATGCCATCTAAAGTGAGAATATATGATAAAGGGCAACCCGGTGCACTAAGCTCCCGCTATGCGCGGGGTCTGGGGAATAGCCGGACCACAAGGGTCTATTCTAAGCAACCTTACCCTGCATTTCTGCAAGAGGCTGTTTCCAGTCTCGAGCCAAATTGAGAGTATATGATATTTACTCTAATATAAGTTTAACCAAATTACAAAGACAAAATGAGCATCTTTAAGTCAACTAGTAAACACAGCTCAAATCCAAAGTTCCAGCAGATGCATTTGCAGTATAAGGTAAGAATAAACAATAATGATAGTAATTAAGGAGTGTAAAAATGAATCTCAGATCAAATATAGTAATGGAACTACAAAAGTACTGACTTTAGAAATGCCAAGAGCATCAAGGAGAGCAACCAAGTCATTAACGAAGTCAGAGAATGTGGTCTTCCCGGGTTCGGGTGGCGGGTCGGATAGTCCATAACCTCTGTAATCGGGTGCAATGGCTCTGAAACCAGCATTAGCCACAGCAACCATCTGGTGCCTCCAAGAATACCATATCTCAGGGAAACCATGCAAGAACAACACCACTGGTTTTGACCCATTTCCAATCTCAGCTATATGTAGCTTTAGCTCATTCACTTCAACGAATTTGTGCTCTATTTTATCCATCTCTGATCTCTCTGTGTCTTGACTTTCACTTTCACTCTTTCTGACTCTTCTTTTTGGGAAAGAAGAAAACAAGTATATTTGGAATTTTAAACTACCTCATAATCACTATCGACAATAAATGTCTTGTTCTTATTCATGCTACATATTAATGTAATTATTGATGCCATTATTAATTAAACGTCTTCCTAATTTATTTAACACGGGATTAAAAATGATCACATGTGGCATATGACATAAAATAAATAGTAAAGTGACAGAATATTGCTTGAAACACTACTAATTAAAAACAGGAATTTGCGACGACCAAATTATGTAGCTAAACAGAAAAATTCGTTATTAATCCCATTTAAGAATGAATTAACGATATATTAGGAAGAGATTTTATTAGCTACGAGCAATTTAGCGTCAAATTAGCGACAAAAGAGTACAAATAATTCGCGCAAATCCAACAAAAAGTAGGGTGCATTGGTATAAAAAAAAACTTATAGGGGATATTATTTAGTTGAGATTAAATTTTTGTCAATTATGATGTTTCTCGGGAGTATTCTCAACAAAAATGATTTGGTCATAGACAATACACCTAATTAAGTATGAATATCAAATAATTACCAGATAATAGTTGAATTATTTCGGTTGGCCATCTAGTCACTAATCCTGCTATATGTCTCGTGAAATTCTTGTCGTAATGATAATTATTATGTACAATTATTTTTGGAGTTTATTGTTCAGATGATCATTAATTAATAAAAATTGTGTAAAGAAAGACATAATTCTTTTTACTATTTGTTACGAAAAGTTACTTTGTCATTGCTATTTCACTCGCAAAAGTCATCTTAGCCAGAAGTTGATATTTTGGTATCATTTAATGACATGGAAACACACTGATATCTACATGATTAAAGAAAATATACACTAATTATAAAGATAAATATTTTTTGTATATTAAAAAAATATACATATTATTTTAGATGTCAGCTATACAGAGTATATTTCCCAATTTTAAACCTTCTTAAAAATATTCGGAACTTTAGCCCAAGCCCAACAAATGGACCCTAAATCCAAATCCGAACCGCTAACTGCCTTCGCAACCATTCTCTGCTCTGCGCCCTAATTTGTTGCTTCTCATCTCCCTCCGGCGAACTTCTCCACGTTCTCGTCATAATTCGGCTGTATCGAATTGTATGTCTCTAATTTTTTTTCCTCTCTCACTCAATCCCTTAGTTGTTATCCTTTCTGTTATTCGCTTTGCTATTATTTTAGTGCTAAATTTTTGGCTTGATTGAGCAGAAATTTAGAGTTTTTGAATGATTAATAGAGTTGAATGGATCTGAATCGGTAGTTACCTGTTTGGTTCATCAGCATGCTATATTTGCCTGTTCTTTTTGTATTCTGTATCCAGCCTTAGGGTTTCAATTGGGTGATTTTGACTTATAAATTAATATTTCCTTGTTAATCTGCTAATTATTGTGTTTATTGCTTTTATTTTGGGTAAATTATCGAAATATTAACTAAAATTTTGCTTCTTTTACGTGGTTTTTGAAGTTGTTGTTAATTGCCAAGTAGCTGAGTGGAATAGAAGATCATGGAAGAAGAGTTAACTGATTTGCTCTTGGAGGCTGCTGGCAGAACTAATACGGGCGGAAGGAACCGCCCGCCTCCATCGTCTAGAAGGCATCACAAGAGTTCATATTCTGATGATGGAAGTGATTCCAGGGACGATGATTCTGATGATGATCGTGGGTATTCGAATAGAAAGCTTTCGGGTTCACAAGTTCCTCTCAAGAAGAGATTGGACCCTCCGGAAAGAGATGATGATCGTAGCAGTCACGGAGAAGGTGACGATGA